TTTCTCGGGAATGAGTAATTGCTATAGCACAGACTCGGCAGTTGGTTAGCGATAAAGACAAAGTCCAGCACTGGGAGGAAAGAGTGCCTTTAGACTACATCTTGTCTCGGGCTGGGATATGGATTTCCAATTTGGAGACTCGGGTCGCCATGACTTTCAGTATCTCCCGTGCCCTGTTTGCTTGTTTCCAGAGTTCCTTCATCTCTGCCTCTCCCCTTCCTCTATCCTGGCCATCCTCTCTGAGAATGAAACCAGCCACTGTGTTCCTTTTCATCTTTGTCTACGGCATGGGCATGCTTCCTTTCTAATTTCTCTTGAAATCTTGATCAGAAGGAACCTGAGTCAGGTGGTGAAGACATGTTATACATCCCCAAGCTGGCGGGATGACAATGAGGCTGACTTACCCCTGTGCAGTCGCATACTCTGCCTTTGGGGAGAAAAGAGCAGGTGACCTTTGGCAGTGCTGTGAAGACGAACTTTACTTTCGTATTTCTTTGCAATAAGTCTGCTTTTTTTTTTCTTTCCCCTTTTCCCCTTTTTTTGCAGTATAATATAATGTTTTGAAGGCTACAATATCTCTCTCAGAGAAACTCGCTAAATTTCAGGACCCTGTCAGAGAGCAGAATTGGTTTTCCTTCTTAGAATTTGTTTCTTCCAAGCCTGTCCAGACGCCGGGCTGTCTTATTTGGCAGCTTAGACGGATGGACTTGGTACCAGCTGCCTTTCAGCATAATACGGCTCTGGTGACTGGAGGAGCAAAGCGGAAGCAGGCTTCTGCAAAAGCACAGTGCGTTCTGTTGGATGCTCTCGGCTCCACTCACTTCTCAGGGAACCGTCACCTGTGAAGTCCTTTGCTCCACTCTTCGCTGCTGTGAGAAGTGCTTAGAGACTCCTAACAAGGGCCATGCTTCCTCAATATATTTAGGGCAATTATGCACATACTTTTAGAAAATACCTTGGGAGTGGGCTTGCTTTGAATCCATGTGAATCAGATAATTAGTTTAAAGACAGGAAATATATACTGTTTTAATTTTTTCTGGCTTGACTAAGGATTGCTTTGGGAGTTTGTGTATAGCATGTTTTAAAACCAGCTCCTTTTAATTATATTTATTTACTTAATGACTCACAGATAGTAGGTAAGTGGCATTTTGAGATAGCCCACGGAGCTGCCCCAAAGCCTCACGCTTGTTCTGTGTCTTATAATTCATATCAGAATTTCATATCTTGTCTTACCTTATGTTTGCAGGGAGCCCATCCATGTTTTACACACCTAGTAAGAAACCATATCGGGTTTCAATTTTAGAACGCTAGGCTAGCGCTCCACCCACTGGGCTACATCCCTAGCCTGGGTTCTCAATTCTAGATCTTCTGGAACTGTGGCTTACGCTCTTTCCCACTGCACTGGGTAAAGTCATACAGTAGAGTCACAGCAGCCATAGTGGGATCCTTGCTCTGACACTCAGCAGATGTGTGACTTTGGCAAAGTCACCTTGTCTCTCTCTCAGCTGCAGTAAAAGGAGTCTCCATGGGTTTCCGCAACAGTAAGAGCAATGAACTTGGCTCTGCTTCGGAATCTGGGATGTGAAGAGCTGAGGCTTCTGTGGCCTAGGAAGCCCATGCCTGCAGAGGTTAAGAGGGAGGCCTGAGGAGGCTAGAGCCATTCAAGTAGTGGTTTTATTTGACAGCTACTTTGAATAGAATCCAGACAGAGTATCACCTGGCAGGAACTTCCCCAGTCCTCTCCTTTCCCCTTACCTGCCCTTTCTTCCCCTCCTATACTTTCTATTTTAATTTTCTTATTGTATTGATTTTCTTTTTCTTCCCCTCAGAGGGACAGATTCTGTTTACTTGGCAGTCAGATAGAAGGGGGTCCTTTCACTCTGCAGGTCACACCAGGAGCCTTTAATTATGCAAATGTAGGCTCCCTTGGAGAAGGGGAGCATGTGGGACAGGGAAGAACAGGATTAATTTGCCAAGGGAACCTGGGGCATTCTGGGAGTCGAGGAATGGCAGCTCAATTTGTCTTTCCAAGGTTTGAAGCTGGGCTGGACATTAGAGTCTCCCAGGGGCCTGGGTCTGGGCTCAGAGCCTAGGAAATATGGTGAGGTGGTTGTACTGGGGAGGGGAAGGGTTCAGGCTTTTGACCTGATGAAATGCAGTCCTGGCCCTCTTAACACCCTGTGCTTTGGCAACAGTGACTGGCCTAGTGGCTTGCTCAGCCAGTGTCCTGACATCCTGACTGTTGTGAACTGCTGTCTGCTTCAGGCCGGAGTCAGAGGAAGCACCGGTTAGCATGAACAGTTGGCTAGATTCTATTTTGGGGAACATGGTGGTGAGTGGGTAAAACAACTTCAGAAAGGGATTGATTGTGTTTTCTGCTATGAGAAGGTAGGAAGGTTTCAGTAATTAGTATGTTACATACTTTATGCGATCAGATTTGTAGCTCAAGATGCTTAGGCGTGTTATATCACTCCCTCATGGAGAATATTCTATCTTTGCGTTCCCAAGTATCTTCTTTCTATGTAGCCAGCTTAGTTCTGAAAATCAGAAACATTCGTGCTCCCTCTCCCAGGTCACCAGAGTTCAATACAAGCTTCAAGGTTCTTTTAAAATGGGGAACAAATACAACTTCTATTTCCAGTTTACACTAACAGTCGCACGTCTCTCTAGCTCTCACGCCTACAGAAGAGCTTTGTACACATACATTCTACAGTGAGACTCATGATGGCTGGGCCACTCTTTGGTGCTTAGAATGAATGAACTAAGGAAAACTACCAATGTCCTTTAAAGTGTGTGTGTGTGTGTGTGTGTGTGTGTGTGTGTGTGTGTGCTGGTGCCAAAAATCAAACGTAAGGCCTTATACTTACCTAGCAGGTGTCCTTTCATGGGTGGTGGCCTTCAGATCATGCTTTATGACAGGGATGATGCCGGACTCCCTTCTCTAAGTTGTCTGTGGAACTGCTTTCTACAGAGTAGAGCATGTGTTACTCTGCTGACTTGGGCGGGGTGGGGCTGTCTTAAAAACACAAATGCTTCGTGGAGCAATGGAGGCTTACCCCTTTAATCCCATAATTTGGGAGGCAGAAGGAGGAGGGCTTCTGGCCTCTGAGTTTGAGGTCAGTCTGGTCTACAGATCTGCAGAGTTCCAGGACAGCCAGGGCTACAAAAAGAAACCCTGTCTTGAAAAACAAAACAAAGCAAAAATGAGTACAAATGTTTAAATCTACTCCCTCATCCATTTGAGTTCATAATTTTGTCTGACAGAGGCGTGATGGAGGTTAGTAGAAACGATTATCTTTTTCTCTTAATCTGTGTCTCCTTGCTTGTGAGGGGGGTTGAGGAAGAGAGGAAGGGAGGGAGGGGAAGAAGAGAGGGAGGGAGGGAGGGAGAGAGAGAGAGAGAGAGAGAGAGAGAGAATGAATATTAATTAATGGCTCTCAGTCTTCTTAAAACTGCTGGCCCCAGAGAAGAGTCATGCCTCTTGTGGAAAATAACCATGACAGATTTGACTAAAAGAGAGAGCAGCTCTTACCTGGATGACACCAGCCACTTAACCAGCCAGCAATGCAAGAACAAGGTGCAGGTGGTTGGGAGAGGTAGGGGAGAGGCCTGGTAGAGCTAGGGACTTCAGTTACTTCCCAACTACACTGACTTCTCAGGATCCAAGTGTATGTTAGGGCTTCACTGCCAACTCTGCCCTTCCACTCTTGCTTAGAGGATATCTGACCTTTTAAAAATTCAACTGTGAGAGAGAAGGCAACGGTGCAGAAACTTAACTGCCTGCCTGGACTCAATCGTTTCAAAATAACTGGGTTTGGGTTAGCTCCTTGGATGGCAAAGGTTCAGCTAAACTTTGTATGCGTGTGTGTGTGTGTGTGTGTGTGAGAGAGAGAGAGAGAGAGAGAGAGAGAGAGAGAGAGAGAGAGAGAGGCTGACCAAGGTACTCTAAGAAGGAGTGGTAGTGAGAAAGAGGTGAAGGGCAATTTCTGTGATATTCTTCCAACTTCTCCTCCCTGAATCAGAGACTAGAATAGTGGTATGGGCTGATTGTATGTTCTCCTCCCCAAATCCAAATGCTTAAATCCTAAGTCCTAGGATGATGATGTCAGAGGTGGGAGAGGTGGGGCGTTGAGAGGCGATTAAGTCATGATAATGGAGTACTTGTGATCTAAATTAGTGCCCTTGTGAAGAGGCCTGAAGGAGCCTGTTCACTCTTATATGTGAGCACAGGAGAAGGCTGTCAATGGACCAGCACCTGGGTCCTTAGCAGACCCTAAGTGTGCAGGGAACTTGATCTTGGACTTCTCAACCTTTAGGACTGTGAGAAATAATTGTGTGTGTGTGTGTGTGTGTGTGTGTGTGTGTATAAGCCACCTAGTAAGTGGCATTTTGTTACGGCAGCCTTAGCAGATGAAGACCAATAATGTATCCTCAGGAAGAAGGGGGAATATATTTCTTTTCCTTGCTCAGAACGTCTATGTTTATTTCTCCTTGTAAAACTGCTCAGTGAATGGAATCTGGTTGCAGTATGTGGCCTTCATTGGCAGAGCTTTGTTAAGTATACAGAGCCTGACTCTTGTGCCTCTCCTCTATATATCCCAAAGCTTGTATGTACCTGGAGCCTTCCCTTGGTTTTATGAAAAATTGGGTACTAAATAATAAACAAAAAATTATTTTATTTTTGGGGAAGTGTATCTCCTTCCTTCTTCCCTCTTCCTCTCTCTTTCCTCCCTCCCTCCCCTTCCCTCTCTGTGCATGTGTGTGCATGTATGTGTGTCTGGGTGCCTGGAGAGGTCTGAAAGGTGTCAGATCCCCTAGAGCTCGAGCTACAGGTAGCCGTGGATCACCTGACATGGGTGCTGGGAACTGATCTCTGATCCCCTTGGAGAGTAACAAGTGCTCTTAACCCCTGAGCCATCTTCCAAACCCTCAAATCCCCCACCTCCTCAGTACTAAATCTTTAAGGACCCAATTAAAGAAAAAAAAATATACTTGTTGTCATTGTTGAATACATACTGTATTTAACTTTTTTTTTAATCCCAGAGAAGTGAGATGCAACATCCACTTGAGTTTATGTAACATCCAAAGACTGACAACTCAGAATTTCCTAATTAAAGTCATTGTTAAGGCACTCTGCAGAGCCAGCTTTCATCTCTTCCTTTGTGGCGTTATTCTTCAAACTGTAGCAGAATACCTGGCTTCTCTGTCTTCAGCGACACACATACATGCTCATGCTCTTAGCCTCCACTTCTGTCCTTGACGACACCAAAAACAACACAATTTTAAGGAAGAAAATCCATTTAGGGGGGAAACAAGGCGAGAGCAGAGAGGACATGTACACATTAATTAACTGATAGGCCAGTAGCAGAAAAGAGAAGGAGCAGGAAGGAAATGGAACAGGGTGCGGTAGACCAGATGGTTGGTGGCCAGTGAAAAAATAGGCTGCATTTCCCAATGAGGTTTAAACTAATTTAGCTGGTTCCTTTTTACATTTTTTTTATTATTTTAAAGATGGGTCCAATGCAAGGGAGGTATTCCAAAATTATGGGATGTGGATGTAGGTAAGTGTGCTTGCTCATGCTCATGTACTTATGAGCTGACTTTAAAGATAGGTACGGGGAAGGGGAGGCTCTAAAATGCCCTCCTGAGATAAAAATAATCTCTCTTACTGGCCCACTTCTGCACCTGGAATTCCCAGCATTCAAGCTATTCCTTCAGATTAAGGCATCGTCTATAGCCCCAATGAAAAGGTAAATGTCACCTAAGAAGTGTAACACTCAACTCTTTAGCACCCACCGACTGAACCGTTTTCTATCAGAGAGCAGGACCCTGAGAGATGGGACTTGGTGCAGGACAGTCTGATTAAAAGGGCAAGACGGCATGGTGCTATGAATGCAGGAGAAATCTACTTGCTCTGGGAAGCTGCTAAGGAGGCGGGGCACAAAAACAGACTCTGTCTATGCTGGGGCACTCTCTTGTGCATACAGCATACACACTCTCTAACACACCCAACAGTTCTTAGACATTACAGCATTCTGCAGGGAGCACTACTATGGCGTTCACTTGGGCCCTCGAGGAAAGGTGCTCAGGGAATCCGCCGAGTGCAAGACAGCACAAGTTCTTGATTGTTTTCAGGTAAAGTTCTATACTGTAAAGTGGAAGTTCAGCATCTTCAAAGGTCCACGTCGTTTATATGAAGGCGGTACACAGCACATACACACACACACAGACACATACACACACACACACGCAGACGCACACATGTGCGCGTGCACGCACACACCCCTTCACTTATATATTCATTGTTTGAGAACTCGTCAACGTGAGAGGTGAGAAGTCTCTAGTCATCTATGATTTGGAGGCTGGAGCGGGCAGGTTGCTGTCAGGTTATTGGGTAAGGGACTGTTGGGGGACAATACTTTCCTGTTACGGATGACCCTTTCCTGTCACCAGTGGGCCCTCGGGTAATTCAGGTTGCTCTGCAGAAACAGCCAACCCTTGGGTTATAAAGACCGGAATAAGCTTTGCCTCAAAATTGGGACAGAGAGGCAGGGAAACCCATGGAACCTTCAGGCTCTTGGAGGGAGGCATGTGTGGTGGTGGTGGGGGGATGTGCAGATGGAAGGTGAACTTGGGCAGGGGACGAGCATTTGCTTCTAGAGGGCAAATGCAAGCATCAGCCTCAGGTGTGACTCTCGGGACCAGTCAACCTTTGGGTCTGCTCAGGTTGATGGTGCCAGTGGGGAGAAGGTGTAACGAGGAAAAAGAACTGGAGCAATGGGGACTCTAGAGAAAGCTTGTGAACTAAAGGAGGAAGGGGTCTTGGAGGTGAACAGGGATGTAGAAGGGTGTTTTTTTCCTATCAACTGCATTGACAAGTTAGAATCATCTGGGTTCCTCAGAAGACCTCGGCTGCTCAGCTCCTTGGAGCCTCTAGGACGGATAACTGAGATGGGAATCAGGTGCGTGGGTTTGAGCTCCTGACCCAGCGCTAACGTGCATCTGGTGTCAAACATTCTGCACCAGAGCGGAAGGAGAGATCCAGTGTTAACAGTCAGGCTGGAGCCTGCTGCTCAGTCTTGCACGGGTTTGTGAAGGAGCAGAAGGGAAAAGAGTGCAAAAGCAGGAAGGGGGTTGGAAGACGCTGACTTTCCGTCTGGTTAGCTGGACCTGTGCTGATTCGTGGGGCTGGATTGCTTGCTACTAGCTGGTAGTTTCTGATCCCATTTTGGGTTGAAAAGCTGGCTGGGGTGGAAGTATTTGGGACTAGGGAGAAGAATTTTCCTCTCTCTTTTTTTTTTTTTGTGGCTTCAAAGAGGAATCATTTACTGTGCTCTGTAGGGGTCGGCAAGACAGATCTGGGGCTGATGTTTGAGAGAGGGAAGTAGATTTCCTGATGTCTAATAAATATAGATCCCATAAATAAATAAATAAATTGGGAAGAATACCAATAAATAAAACAATCAAGAAAACAACATAGACAACTTTTGCCCTGTTGGGGGAAATTCTGCTCTCACTCCACTGATCCTGGTGACGTGAGGGCTGCTCTTGGACATCCGAAGGCACTAAGCCTGTCCATGGTAGGGCGAACAGTTGCCTTCCAAAGACCGTAGAGAAACCTCAGAGGATGATTGACATTGGCTATCCACATAGAGAAGAGTGAGGAGAAGGGGAGATAGATATTCTCCTTGTTTCCCACCAAAAGTGTGGGGTGAGGAGGCAGGCTTGGGAGCCAGGGCTGGGCCGTGTGGGGTCTCTTCAGTCCAGGATGGCCAGCCTTGTCCTTGGGAGGCTTCACGTGGAAGGAGGGGATGAGCAGGAGGTGCGGGCGAACTCGATTTTTCCACACACAAAAGCTGCAGCAGGCACAACTTCCATTTTAACAAAGCTCCTCCATGAGCCAACCAGCTGGCCTGGCTGGACACACGCGGTGGGGAGAGGAGGTACTGGTCACAGGATGGGAGGCAAGATGGCACTCTTTTCAAATAGGAAATCAGCTGTCCAGGGCGTCAGCTTCTAGCGCCACCAGCCATTGCTCATATCCTCCTCCTCAGTGTCTTGCCGTGTGGTTCTGTATGCTGGGCTTGCCTTGTCCTACTAGGAGACCTGCATGTGGACAAGGAAACATGTAAACAGTGCACATTGAGATAGTGGCCAAGGAAACACCATTCCTTAAAAGCAGACATTCATAATTCAAGCTTTGTAAGTAGATTTTCAAATGGATAATAGCTTGAATTTTGTGCAAAGTTCTGAGCATCTTCATCTACACATCTCTATAAAGGAGGTCTGTAACTTTCATCTATTTTTAAAAGATTAAAAACTAAAGCAGTGTGAAGGGATCTCAGGTCACTTGTGTGTTTAGTCCATTGGGAAAGCACAAAGAACTACAGAAATGGGTGGACATTCCAGCAGGGCCCCTTAGAATTCCGGGTGCAGGAACCAGACTGACTGGAGACCTGGGTGTAAACCAGGATTTCTGTCATTGACTCAGGACAATTGCCAAAGCCTTCGTCTTCACTATGTGTCTATATCATGCCATTTGAAGCTCTCAATCAAAGTTTCTTTAGGAAGAAAATATACACCAGCTGGTTTTTTTTTTTTTTTTTTTTTTTTTTTTTTTGTGGGCATGTGTATCTACCACTTAACAGCTGAAGTCCTAAAAAAGTGGGTGGACCCAATTTTAAAAAATAAAACAGAAAGCATTTTTGAATGCACAAAGGGAGCTGTTCTTAGGTAAAGTAGATGTTGTGAATCCTTTTCTTTCTTTCCTGAACTTTTGTTTGGTGTATGTGTGTGTATATATATGTCACATATATGTCAGAGTGCACGTTTGTGTGTGTGTACACTTGTGTATGTGTATTATATGTGTGTGGGTGTATATGTGTGCACCTAAGTGCAGAGGTTACAGGTCTATTTTGGGTGTCTTTCTCAGGAGTTCTACACCTTGTTTTTAGAGACAGGATCTCTCTCTCTCTCTCTCTCTGAGCCTGGAGCTCACTAGTCAAGCTAAACAGGCTAGTCAGCAAACTAGCCAGTGATTGTCCCCTCTGCCACTCCACTCCAACGTTGCATATAGATACATGCTGCCTGTCTGGGTTTTGGTGGGTGTTTGGGATCTGACCTCAAGTCCTCATGCCTGTGCATCAAGCACTTCACCCAGGGAGCCACCTCCCCAGTCACTTGTCTAGATTTTGTGTGTGCTGGACTTGCTCACAGGATCGCTAGGGTGCAAATGTTTTTATAATTCCACATTTAAATAATGTCATTGCCTTTTCTGATTATATATATTATATGGCTTCAGTTTAGGAAGTTATGTAGTCAGTTAAGTAAACTTGTCTTAACACTCTGAAATTAGAAGATAAACCCATTTCATATACAAACAGGGACTTGGTCTAAGATATGTTTTAGAAAGCAGCCCTCTCTGTACCCCGTTCACCAGAATAGCAGCCATGCCTTTTGGCATCTGTAAATGCAGGAATGTGATTAGTCAGAATAGGTCAGAGGTGCCGAGTGTGCCAGACTCTGCCAGCCCTTGGTACCTGACCTGGCAAAGAAGAACAAACATGGTGAGGTGGGGAGGAGGTTGGGTACAAGGTAAGCAGATGTGAGCAGAGGCCTAAGCCGAACTCACAGTCTACTTGGTGATCACAGAGCACACCACACAGATGCTCATGAACGAAAGTCACATCACCATGGAGACTGCCTCACTAATCATGCTCTTTATGATTTATTATTTATATTAATCCATATATCGTTAGTCTATTAATTCTATCATATATTATATAAAAGCAATTTAAAAACAGCATAATTTTTGTATAGAAAATATTGTAAGTGTGTAGTTTACTTTTGTCTACTAGTTTTCCTAAGGCAAGACACAAGCAACCCAGTTAAGTTTGCTCTGTTAAGTGTGCTTTCATAAACACTTGTGGGGTGCACATGGCACTGACAAGGGGCCTCCTTCTTATGCCACAGACAAATACGTCAAGGTCAGCATGACATCAATACGAAATCAGGGCCCAGGAGCCCAGTCCCCTGGTCTCCTGTACCAATGAATAATATATTTGGGATATAGAGAGCTGGGTGGAAATAATCTACTAAAGGCAAAAAGACAAGATCATTTTTTTTTCTGTAACAAGCTCATAATTAAACTGACTGTAAAGCTGTTTACTCTTGTATACAAAATGTCCTGTTTCTCTTTTCATGGATGTACTCAAAGAAGGAATGCTTTGATTTTATTAGTGGCTCTTGGGACTAGAAGTTTTTTTTGTTTTTTTTTGTTTTTTTTTTCCATTTAAGAAGATCCATGGAAGTTTTTATTTTCTCGAGACAGGGTTTCTCTTTGTAGCCCTGGTGCTCCTGGAATTCACCTTGTAGACCTGGCTGGCCTCGAACCAAAGAGATCCACCTGCCTCTGCTTCCCAAGTGCTGGGATTGAAGGTGTGCACCACCACTGCCCAGCAAGATCCATGGAATTCTTTAGGTGAGATAGTCCTTAGTTTTCTGGTGTGTGTGTGTGTGTGTGTGTGTGTGTGTGTGTACATGCGTATGTGCAAGCAGACGAAGGTAGCGGTGGCAGCGTCTCTACCTCCGTTCTTCTGATATGCATGTGCACAGTCTTTTCTCTCTGATTAATTAGAAGTAATAGCCTTCCTTAGCTTCTGGTATGTGAGAGAGTAAAGTGGGAAATAATTTAATTGGCTGTCTTGCTTTCAAAGCCCAGTTTAATGAAATAGTTCTCAGCCTGAAGTGCATGCATTATCCTTCCTGTTATTTTTACAATTAGCGTGTCATTGGATCACATTTGGGTGGAATATTCTAATTGGTTCCTAGGGTGGGGGCACAGCAGATGGAGAGATAACCCGATTGCTGGGGTGTGTACTGTGCTTTCATTAGGACAGTGTGCCTGAGAAGTCTTGTCCTGTCACTTATCTTAGGCATGAGAGAGGGGTCATACCAGTCTCTAAAAATTGTAGACTGTTTGATGCACCCATTGGGTACAGAGATGACTCTGAGACACTTTACAAGGTCCTGGGCTACCTCCCAATGCATGACCCAGTGGCACAAGGACCGCCTTCTATAGTTTCCTATGTGCACTGTCCCACTGAGGGCACGGATTCTGTTTTGCCAAGTATGTAGGAAATACTTGTAGAAAGACGTGCTGGAAGAATGAGCATTTGGAGAATCCCATGATACCTTCCCTGCTTTGCTCTTCTGTGTGGACAGCAGAGAGTTAGAGGTAGATGTGAAGCGGGGCCGAGAGTAAGGAGCAAGCCAGGCACCAAAGGCAAACACCAAGAAGGTTTGCTCTTGCAGGGGCATGTGAGCACACAGGCCTGAGTGTGAGTGCCTTCTTAAATTCTACGTGTCCTAGTACCTTGCTTGCCTCACCTTCACCCTAGGTCTGGCAACTAACAAAGCATCCTGTTCTCCTTTTTATCTCCTCCTTGTTCCAGTAATGCTGGGCCTCAACCAGCCCTCAGTCAGCCCCAGATTCAACAATGTTACCATTTAAATATCTCACAGCACTGTCTGTATCCCTTACAATCCTCAGTAGCACTGGGTTCTGCTTGTGTCTTGGCTCTGTGTCTGGTTCTTTCTTCTTCACTGTACAGTTGTGACATATGTATCTTCCATACCCCCTGGTATTTCTGAAACAGCACTCAGCTGTTTTAAGGATCAACCCACTTTTTCTAGGTAAGCTGAAGACAAACATGGGCCTAGAGGCAAAAGAAGCTCGATGCTTGGCCATGTGTTCCACTGCCTAGAGCCTGGATCTGTATTTGTCTTGGAAAGAGGAGTTGGTTCTTTGAGGGAGCATCCTTTGGCCCAGCTGGGAGAAAGGAATAATTGAGGCATGGAATAGGGACTGGGACAGGCTTAAAGACAACTGTGCAGCGGGGCCAAAAGAGACCATAAAGAAAGGGGTCACTATAGGCAGATGTAGAGAGAAGACAGAACCAGCCATACCTCCACCATTGTGAGATAGCCTGGGATATGTTGTGTATATACAGGGTGAGGGGAAGTACTTCCTCATTTTATCTCCTTCAAGATGGCAGGTCTGTAAAACCACCTGCAAACTTTAAGGACTTAGCCAAAACTGTAGGGACAGAAAGGCCAGTAGAGACCCAAGAAAAGATTTAAACATGTATGTGTGTGTATATATAGAATATATATAAATATTGAATATATATATACACACACATACCCCTCTGTGCTATGTGACCACAAATGAGGAAAATACAGCTGTTCTGGGATGACTTTTGTGGTCATTTCAACCCAGCCAGTTGTGCTGGGATTTTCCATCTGGCCCTGTCCTGACACTTTGCCACTTGTCTCCTCAAGGAGGAGTTTTAGCTACCTACAGGACCATGTGGCCTTCTCGTCTTTTTCTTTTCTGCCCCTGCCTGGGGATAGTCCTCTTTTAGCCAGGTGGCCAATGCTGGGGAGAGCTGAGAGATCCCCAACCTTCCCAGAGATCAGGCTTTGCTCTGCAGGGACTGAATGAGGTTTTGGGTTTCCAAGCTGATGGAACATGAAGGTCGGCTCACCAGCTGCAGCCCATGTGCTACTGATCCAACAAACAATGTCTTACATCAGACAATGCCTCGCTGAGACACTGGAGTGTTTCAGAGATCACGCCAGTGTCTACTGAGGCTAGCCATGGGCTTTGTTATAGGAGAGCATATGCCTAACTCGGGGATCAATGATACCATGTTTCCCCATAGGAATTCCTATAGAAGTGCTTGGGAATGGTCAGATAAACCTTGGCAACTCTCTGGGAAGCTTTCTATAGGCAGATGTCCTACCAGAAAAATGGGGACCAGATGTACTCCAGATCTCAAAAGAAATTAATGACAATAAGACTCTGGGGTAAAAATATCTGTGTGCTTGCTCACTGAGCTTGTTCACTCGGCTCCTGTTCTATCTAAGGATCATTTAGGCTTAATTATAGAGTTCAGGCATTCATTGGGTTTTTGATTAATTTTCTTTTCAGCCTGGAAAGTGTGTGAGTGTGGTAGGTCTTTGTCCGTGCGTGTGCGTGCGGGTATATGTGTGCGTTTATATCTTTCTTTGCAACTCAGTTGGGAGCTGGCTCTAGCGATGTTTAATTGCGCCCTCTATTCTTAACAAGAACACTCAATGTGCCAAGAAGGCCTTGGAAAGCCATTGTTTTCACTGCCTCCGCCCCATGGGCTGCTCCTGGCAGGCATTGAGGGACCGCGGGTGGCAGGGCAGTGCTCAGCTGGGACCTCGGCTATAGGATGCATGCTTCCTGTCTGTCTTTGTACTTGTGTTTAAGGGATTCGGAGACTAGGGGAACGGCTTTTCCTACTCCATTAATTACAAGTGACAGCCACCTCCCCCACACCACAGTCCCTGACAGGCGTTTTTCTGGGCCAACCTCCCTGGGGATTACAAGGCTCTTTGAGGAAGCAAACAGCTTTCATTCTCTCATTTTTAATGACTCCACTTGGTGGGTAGGGGAGGACTACATGGCCGTGCAGATGACAGTGACCTGCCTTCTCCTTTTCTTTCTTCTCCTTTGTGCTAAGGGGTAAACTAAGGGACAGCACCATATAGAGGGAGAAAATGGGGGTTTGAGCCAAAAGGCCCAGTTTGAATCCTGGCTTTTGGCATTTTTCCTGTTTGTGTGCCTGTGGATACATCATTTACCCTCTTTGGTCTCAACTTGCTATTTGTAAGATGAGGACAATAACACCACCACCATCACCACTGAATGACACTTCTTACGATGACTGTGGATGAGAAAACGCGTGTGGAAGCCTTTTGCAAAATCTTTTATAAATCATTGCTATTTTATTTTACTATGCAGAGTTTTTCTTAGACCATGACTTTGGCCTTTGAGGTATTCATTGTGTGTGTGTGGGGATCCAAAATGATTCATTGACTGGAAGGCAGACAGGGGACCAGCCTCCAGCCTCCCATGTGTTGTGGATGGCATCAATGACCTGCCGATGTGGTATGCAATCAGCAGAGAACAGATTAAGGGTTCACTATCAAAACAGCTGTCACAGATAGAAAGTAATCTGGAATATTCCTTTTTTTGACATAACGGAAAGGGTTCTGGACCCGATTGTTTTTAATTTCTCGGCTAATTGATTTGTGGGTGAATGATTCTGGAACAATGGCAGTGTTTCTGGCTGGAGTCGAGGAAAGACCCCAGGTCCCAGGCAATGTGTCTGTATTGTAAGCTGTGGTCTGGGAGACTCAGGCCTGTGCTGATGAGCTTTGTGATCCTGAATAGTTGACCTAATTTAAATGGGCCTCAATTTCCTTGGAGATCATAGACTAGAGGATCTCAAGGGTGACCTCATTTAAGGATTTAAGACCTGATGAAATGTTCTTCCAAATACAGGAGGTTTTAAACTGTTGTGTCACTAAGAAACTATGACCCAAATATAAAGTCCAAATATAGTTTAGAGACCACCCAACTCACACCAAAGGCTCAGAGCGAGTCTGTTTGAAACTGATGTCGTCTGGCATCAGACCCCCGTTCTCAAGGGACATGCAGGCTGATGGGAAAATGCAGGTGACCCCCGGCAGAGATCTCAAGGTTAACTCTCTTCTGTAAGAGAGCCCTTTGTTTGGCAATATCCTGACTAAGCTAAAAGTCAATGATCCACAGACAGAGAGAAAGGGGGTCATCTCCTTGTAAAACAATGGTAACTTTAACATAATTGGCTATTGGGTAATTGAGTGTTCTACCAGGTTGACTTCAGGACTGAGAGAGAGAGTTTAGAGAAGTAACAAATGACAGCGGTAAAGCATATTTGCATAGTGATTTTACCTTTTATAAGCCCTTCTCACATATTTCTTCTCAATTGTTATTACATCATTCCCCAGGAAACCACCTGGGGGTAGTTTATTTTAAAAATCTGAATTGATTCTTTTTAAGTAGGAATAAGCTTAGGTAAGCATGCTGCACCTTGCTTTATAAGTATAGACAGGTCTTTGAAAAGCTATATTTTATGGAAATATAATTGTGTGACTCATATCTTAATGTGCTAGGGACATTTAAAGACTGAAACCTCGCATAGGATTTTTAATATAAACGCTTTCTTATTCATCTGTTGTTACAATTTTAGATGTGGAAAGAAAAATCAGGTTTTCTTAAAGTGGGGCTATGTGGCTTGGATTCCAAGATCAGCATCCACTGCCCCAAATCTCATAAAAGTGGCATCTAATTCAATGAGGGAGAGATTGGAGCTTCTTGTGTCAGCACGGAAAATAAGCAGCTTTAGTCTTCAGCTTGTAGCTCTCTGAGGTCAGCTCTGCCATAAAGAAGGAGGGAAGCATGGGAAAGGACAGAGAAAATAACAAAAATAACAGCTGAATTATTTCTAAATAGAAGAGTCTTTGCAACTCACAGATGGGCATTAATGTGTTGTTATAAATGACTTGCCATCAATTACTAGTCTATGAGAGAGGAGCTGATGGCTGGGGCGTGAAGTTAGTGCTATATAATTTTGAGTCGCATCCTCTGGGACTAGAGCATAAAAGCAATTAAACTACAGTGCATTTTAAACAAAAGCAATGGACAAGCCTTCCCAGTTCACATTCTCTGTCCCCAAACTCTAGCAGGCTTGGGGTCAATGACAGAATCGGTATAATGGCTCCAGACTTGGAATCTCACACTTCTGAAATTAAGCTTGAAGAATTTACTTATTCAATGTACAGCATTGTGAGAGTTCTGTAGTTTGTTCTCCCGGCGAGTTTTGGAACAAAGAGGGCTCCATCTCACAACCTGCACTACTGAGATTAACAAGGAAAGCTCTTTTCTAGGAGGGGGCGATTTAGGCTGAAAGGGTTGGAAATCTTACCACTGTACATACTTGGAAACTCATTAAAAAGTTTTACACAGCTGGATTAAGGACATCTGGCTTCCCACCTTTATTGGCTGGATCTCAGTGATACAAGTTTGCTTAAAGAAAATGCCCAGATTTTCACTAAAGAAGTAAGAAACACTTCCTCCCTACAGCTGGACAAGAAGTTAAAGCTGAAGCTTTGTAAGTATAGTTGAAGTTAACCTATGTGGACTTATGGTGTACATACTATGTGTGTTTAAAGGCCATGGATGAACATTCAGGCACTACTGGCAAGACTTGTTGTTATGATCTCTGAATACTGGTGTGTGAGAATACATGTGCATGCACAGACGTGTACACTTCCTGTGCCCAAACAAGTCAGAGATTAAAACTCGAAAGTATCTTTCTCATTTGTGGAGATGTTCCCGAAACCCTGCAATGACAGGAGGCTGTACATCTTTGTAAACCAAGGGCTGGTGAGGAATCTGTAGTTGTAAACAAAGTCACAGACTGAGGCACTAAAAAACCCGGGAGGGACCCAGTGCCACAGTTACTGCAGAAAACAGGAACTACATAGCCAATACTGTGACTAACACTTAGAATGAACCATCTCTTTGGAACGAGAGTGTATGGAAGCAGCCAGTCTCCACTAGGGCTGCGGAGTCAGCACTTTGGACAGCTCCTAGGGCAGCTCTGAGACAGAGTGTTTACTTGTTCCCCTCCTTCCAGAGAACGTGCTGACGATCTGATCATCAACTAATATTTGATATTAATCTGTAGCAACAACTTCTTCTCTCTCCCCATCACCCAGTATCTTTCACCCAACTCCCCAACACCCTCCAGTCACACACGGGGGACTGTCTTACGAACACCTGGTGTGGATGTTTCCACGCGCGCTTCTAATTGGTTGGGAAGCAGCATCCGCCACAGGCACTGTTTAGTTTCATTTACCTCCCCTGCATCTCACAGGAAAGAAATGGTCAATAGTTCAAATAAAAGAATCATCCCGGTCAGCTGCAAAATATGGCTACTTGCATGGTAATCACAGCAAGTCTGTCAAATCAGTGATTTCTTTATTCCTAAGAGGAAGGGGCTTTTCCTAAGGGTTATGGTTCTACCACCCGAGGAGCAGCTGGACTCTTCACAAGCAGCTGCAGAGGCTGGCAAACCAAGAGGTCTGCTTTGGCTCAGAAACTCAGTTTGGCTCCTGCCACCCCTGGCAACACACAGCTGGGCAGTCCGCTTCTACTTAGGAGGTATCACCACCAGGGGCGGCCCCCGCTTGGGCCTCCACATGAGGACCTGGGCATCATTGGCATTGGGCTTCACGAGTGCGTTAGGGGGGATGGGTTCCATCCGGCTCAGAACCCGGGGCTGCTCCTGCTGAGTCCTGCCCACTAGCCGGGCCCGTTGCCCCAACAGTTGAAGAGGGTCCACTTCAATGTCCACTCTCATCCTCCACTTGATGGTCTGCAGAATGATCTTCTCCTTGGTGGTGGTGTTCATGGCTACCAGCCAGGTGGTAAAACTTTGGTCCCTCTTGATCCTGGTGAGAAGTGGCACGTTGCTGTCACTCACTGGCACTGCCCATGTCACGCTGGGGTAAAAGTTATCATTCATGCTGACGGAGAACCTGGAGATCTTGTTGGTGGGGCCAACCAGGGTCACAGTCTCTGTGGTGTTCCCGTACCAGGGGTAGCTCACCCCGTCTGAATCACTGATGGCTTTTACTCTCCCTTCCCTCAGATCAGGCAGTTCCCAGCTTGACCTGGCAAAGCAGAAGGGACACACAAGAAGAGGATGAATGAATTTTTTTTTTTAAAGTTGGACAGGTGCCCATCACTTTACTAACACAGACAAATTGGGCAAAATGGGAAATTGGGAGGGGGAATTTAGGCCATAAAGTTATACGCTGGGCTGTATCAGGATTAAATGAGAAAAAAATAACCAATCAAATTGAAATTAAAAATAAAACGCAGTTCCAAAGTAAGTTAAATAAAAGCCTAGCTGACCCAATGGAAAAGCCCAAAGGAACATCAATGAGACCACCAATAGTTATCTGCTCATTGGGATGGTTGAGAAGAGCGGTGCAGAGGTCACCCATGACAGGATGCACATTCATGGGGAGAATGTGTTTGAATAAGGTTTGACACCCAGAACAGGTGATACAAAATTTAACTTGAAAGGATGGAACAGAAGGAGAAGAGAGGAGGGGTAAAAGAGGTGAGGGTCAACATTATATTAATTTCTTAGAAAAGCCACAGTAATAGAATATCTATTCAACAGAGCATCTTTAAATTCTACCATGAAACCAAACTAGCACTCAGAAAACAGGTCAAAGAAAAGCCATGATGGAGCACTGGCTACTTTCCCCCTAAAGCTAACATGCTTTGTGGGAACCGCTATGGCTGGCAGCTCACGTGCTGCTCTCCCCTGGGCTTAGTGTCCTGGAATCTTTATCGCCATGATTGTGACCTTGGCATTCTGAGTACCTGTTTACTCTTCCTGTCCATTTCCCATCCTTACACAGAATGACAGAGGAGCACATGTGGCCATTCTTAGCCCACGTATCTCCTCCCAGGGTATGTTGTGTATATCAATGATAATCATAATGATCATGACTGATAGTTACAGAGCACCTACCTCATCCCAACCACAGTGTTATGTACTCTGTTATCACAGTTTATGTTCAAAAGATTCCACACTGTAACTGGATTTTCTTTTCTTTCTGTCTTTTTTTTTCCAAGAGAGGGTAGAGGTTTAAAAGCATTGGTATATATCGTGTCCTATAGATTCTACAGACTCTAAGAGGTTAGATTGTCTTACTCTGGAGTCTGTGATTTTGATCATTGTATCATACTACTTCCAAGTACCCATGGTAAAGAAAACCTATGCTGTACAATGATCTAACTAACAGCCCCTAGCACAGTCATGGGGCATTTGACTGGACCCTAATAGTGACATTCTACGTATTTCCACCCCCGGAACCAGGAACGACAGCAATGCTTGGCAATAATGCTTATAAGTCAATAATTAAAGAATGGTGAGTTTTCCATTTATTAGCTAAGAGGTGATGGCCTTGTTTGATATACAGTTCTTCCTCTCCAGAGATAACAGAAGATCTGGCAGGGCTTACCCAAATGGTAGAAAAGGGAGTTACTTGCTCAAGCTGACACTGATGATGTCTCAGCATCCCCTACTAGGGAACATGGAAACACTGCTGCTTCTGGCTACCCCCACGGTACTTTCTATGCCAGTCACCCCAGCATAAGTGAAGGGAAGGCTGGACCGCCTGGGGAGGAGGTGAGCCCGCAGCTGCAAGAGGCTTTTCTCTTGTCTTCATGCCCTCGATGACTGTTGAGAATAATTGTAGTGTATTATGGTTGGCAGAAGCTAAGTGACAGAAACTGACCTGATACAAAGTCGAAGAGAGCTCATCTTACTGTGCATGCTGGTGTGCTGTGCCAGGCGGAGCCCCCAGATCTATCTGTAGCTCCCAGGCTACCCTCCCTCCCTCCCTCCTTTCCTTCCTTCTTTCTTTCTTTTCTTTTCAAGACAGGGTCTCCCCATATAGCCCTAGCTGTCTCTGAACTTGCTATGTAGACCAGGCTGGCTTTGAACTCAGAGATCTGTGTGCTTCTGCCTCCTGGGATTAAGAGTGTTCACCACCATGCCTGGGGGCACTTCTAATATATATTCCTCTCCTGGCTCTCTTTGAAATTCATGAACTCTTTTTAAAACCAACTGTTGTCACACACATATATATTCCTAAATACAGTGGTATATATATTTATATATTCACATTTTACTGTACAGAAATGAGTGTGTTGTTTGAGTGTAATATAATTATGCATGAGTTAGCATGGTAGAGAACCAACTGGCTAATCTGCTTGCTGGGTTCATGTAATGACAACATTGGAGTCATTGTGTCCCAACTAAGGGGCCAAGACAATGTCATCACTAGATATTATTTCCAAACCTCAGTTTTTATTTTTCTTAGTAGTCATTGTGACACTTTCTGAGTGGCTGGGGGACAGGCATTCCCAGCAGTGCCAGATCAGGCTTGCTCCCTGCCCCTCTCACAGCCAACTCTGCTGTGTCCAGTCTGGAGAACTCTGTTTCCAGTGGATGTGCTTCTTATTCCACTACAATGCTGACCTTTTCGGGACTGTGTACCCTGATGGTCAATCCAATTCCTTTGGCTATGATGGAGTTACAATTTACATTTTGCCTTTATCTCCCTGCCCAGAGCCAAGGGCAGAGACCTGAGACCACACTCTCGAGGACAGCCAGGTTGGAAGATAATCAAATTTAGTTTGGTTCCAGGTTTTCTCACAAATGGAGATGGTGTAATGAGGAGCACAAGTGTGCCTGTCTCAGAAAAGAAGGAAGAGAGTGGCCTCATAGGATGCTCTGGAATGCATGTATATCCTGAGCTTCTTAACCACCACACCCCAGCAAGAATGTATCTGGCAGAGCATAGGCTTGGCCTTGTGACCTTAGCAGGCTACACTTCTGTCTCATTTTGCTCCTGTCTTACAGTTGCTAAAGCTCAAAGTGGATCTCTCCTACAGCCCCATGGAGCCAATATCTACCTCCATCATGGAGGGGTGGCTTAACTTAGGAAATAACCAAACTCATCAAGAGTAAAACCTAGTGAAGGAGAATGGCTTTCTATCAGAAAATTATTGCATTTTTATTTCTTATATGAAAATTAGATATTTATTCCCAGACAGTGGCTTGAAAGAGCCTGGCCTATAAAATGCATAACTGGTTTATGTAGAAGATGAGATGGCAATGGTTTTCCCAGAGGTCCTTTTTAAGTTTCAACAGTGGTCGCCTGGAGTCCCTTGGTGGGTGTTAAGAGGATGTCTGTGATCAGGATGCTGAAGCACTTCAGATCCCGCATGGTCCAAACAGAACTCCCCATCACCACCTCAGAGCTGGACCTTCCCCTCTCTGCTACATCCAACCTTTCAGGTCAGAAGTGAGGGCTGTATTTGACCTTCCCACCCCTCACAGAGACCACCACAGCCGCCACTCAGCATCTTGTGACTTTTGCCGCACAAGTCTTGTGTGGATTTACTTCCTTTTCTCTGTCTACTGCTCACAGCTTTCACATAATCCAAGCCTTTAGCATCTCTCCTAAACGGTCTACTGTCGTGCCCCACTAACTGTGTTCAATGCTGATCCCCACCCCCCTGCCCACCGCCACTTCATCGCATAAGTTCTCAAACTTGTTTGCTCTATACATAAAACGTTTCTATGACTCTTTTACATGAAAATCACTGGGTCACTCATAGGATAAAATCTGAGTTCCTTACTGGCACAAATCTGGCTCAACGTGACCTGTCCTCTCTGATCCCACGTACACTGCTGTTTTTCTCCTTCACTCCTTAGCTCCTGCCGCACCCTTTGCTCACACTGCTCTTCCTCCTAATAAAAATCCCCTGTATCTATCCACTCGCCCGCTGGAACTCATCATGAGCCACTCCCCCACAGGAGGAGCACGATTCCCACCATTGACAGGTGCCAGATTCCATCTTAACTTTTAGTTTTTATGTCTCTTTCTTCATTAGACGTCAGTTTCCTGGGAACTGTGGCTTACTTTTGAATCCGCACCTAGCACATAGCTGGCATGCAACTAAAACTTACTATTTCCTGGATGGATCCACTTCCGTGATTGTATGAGCACCACAAACCAGATTCAGTCTGTTAAACACCGCCCCACCTCAGACAGAGAGACAATATGAACTTAGGAGGAAGGATGGGGAGCGAGGTCTGAACCTGGGAGGAATTAGGTCTGGGAGGGAGTAGAAAAGGTAAATATAATCAGAATACATTGTATGCATCTCAAAGAATTAATAAAATATATTCTAAAACCTTAATATTTCTCAAAGGATTAAATATTGTATTTGGATCATTTTCATGCCTTCATGTGTGGGGCTTAATAGAACTTGCACACGACAGAACCTTTTATCACAGCTCTACACTTTAGATACTTGCTCGCTTCTAAAACCCCAACATCTATTATTCATCTAGAATCTATAATTAGGATAGCTGCACACCTTGCACTGAAAGTTATTTGTCTTCGGGGGAGGCGAGCCACACTTGAAATGAGTGAATTAGTAAGCATGAATGTATTTCAGAGACTATTTTTGCCAGCACACAGCAAACATATGAAAACGAGTAGCAAAACTCCCAAGTGCGACCGGCTCCGGATGTGTAGAGATCCACAAAGGCAGAAGAGCTGGGGAGGCTCTGCAGAGGGAATGGGTTACCAGAGCTAAAGTCAAGCCTTCTCAGCTGGGAGGTTTCATCAAAGGCCAGGGTAACATCAAGCATGCGACAGAATGTCCAGGAAACAGAAGGGACAACTTGGGGAAGTGAACGGAGGAAAGAGTGAGAATGGAGCGGTGGCTAGGGTGGCCTCGGCTAGATGGGTGTCTTGAATAATGGGCTTTGGCATTCAGACTTCATCTGAGCAGCGGAGGGACTTGCACTGGAGGCTGCTGTGCCAGGGATGGTCAGGTTCCTCAAAGGAGAATTTGCGTGTTGGAGGGAGAGAGAGTTGGGATGAGTAGGAACATTTGCAACGCGGTAGGTAATATCTATTGATTATCTCTCTCTCTCTCTCTCTCTCTCTCTCTCTCTCTCTCTCTCTCTATTTTATTTTGAGACAGGGTCTCATGCAGTCCAGGCTAGACAAGATCATGCTGTGTATGATCTATGGATATCCCTCAACTGTGGATCCTCCTGCCCCAAGTG